TAATGAAGTCAATGGATTAAAATAAAAACTAAAAAAAAATTAGTTATGATAAATTCTGAATAAATATATATAAAAAAGCGAGTATATTAAATAAATAGAAAAATAGACGAAAAAAATCAACCTAAATTGTATGAAATATATTAAAATCAATAGATTAAAATAAAAACTATAACAAAATTGATTATGCTAAATTTTGGAATATATATATATATATATATATATATATATATAAGGAATAAAACTTCTAATTTTTAATTGATTATTATTTAAAAAAAATTGAGCCAAACTATTTAAAACATACTTTTAGCTCTCTCTCTCTCTCTCTCTCTCTCTCTCTCTCTCTCTCTCTCTCTCTCTCTCTCTATATATATATATATATATATATATATATATATATATTAAAAAATAAAAAACTCATTTAAAAGCATAAAATAATTTGTTGTATAAATTATAATAATATATTTTTAGAAAATAAAACATCGATATTCTAAAATTTTATTTCAAAATTCATATATTAACAAATAAAATTATATCAAAAAATTAATTTGATAAGAATTTTAATAAAAAAACAAATAATTGAAGAAATAAATTTGAAAAAATAAGAGTAATATAATGAGATATATATGTTCAGACTAAAATTTTTAAAAATATCATATATATAGTCTATCATTTTCATACCTAATTTTATGGTAATACACACACACATATAAACATGAAGGGGGAAAAAAAGAAAGAGAGAGAGGACCAAGTGCGAGTTACCAAAAAAAAAAAGAGGACCAAGCGCTGCCATGACAGGTCCATGCGCCAGGCAGCCTTGGCCATTCAACGTAGGGCAAAAAAAATAAAAATGCTATAATAAATTAATAGTGACAATCTCATATCTTTTAGTTACTAAGGAGTTGGATACTCGTGCTATGCTACGGTCACATACTTTTAGCTCTCTCTCTCTCTCTCTCTCTCTCTCTCTCTCTCTCTCTCTCTCTCTCTCTATATATATATATATATATATATATATATATAATACTCATTTAAAAGTATAAAATAATTTATTATATAAATTATAATAATATATTTTTAGAAAATAAAACACCGATGTTCTAAAATTTTATTTCAAAATTCATATATTAACAAACCAAATTTATTAACAAATAAAATTATATCAAAAAAATTAATTTGATAAGAATTTTAATAAAAAAAATTAAAGAAATAAATTTTAAAAAACAAGAGTAATATAATGAGGTATATATGTTCAGACTAAAATTTTTAAAAATATCATATATATATATAGTCTATCATTTTCATACCTAATTTCATAATAACACACACACATACTCACATATATATAAATATGAAGGAAAAAAAAAACAATGAGAGAGAGGGACAGGCGTGAGTTGCCAAAAAAGAGAGGCCTAGGCGTTAACATGACAGGTCCATGCGCCAGGCAGCCTTGGCCATTCAACATAGGGCAAAAAATAAAAAATAAAAATGATACAGTAAATGAATAGTGACAATCCCATATCTTTTAGTTACCAACGAGCTAGATACCCGTGTTATACTGCGGTCGGATAATTGTGTATGTAAGGTCAATGATTTATATGGTGTAGTGTGGATAAAAATCTATATTTTTTTAATTATAAAATGATTTTAAAACATAAAAAAAAATTAACAAATAACTTGGAGTTATGTGTGTAAATACATAATTAATTTATAACAAAAATAATAATATATATTTTAATTATTTTATTAAAAAATATTAATTTTAGAATATAAAAAAAGAATAAATTACAAATAATTAGTGTTATGTATGCAAATACATTATTAATTTCTAACAAAATTATATATGTGTGTGTGTGTGTGTTTTTTCATATTTTTACTTATTTTTTTATTCTTCCTCTATTTATTCAAACAAAAAATAGAACCATTGATATAGCAAAAAGGAAAAAATATATATATATTTTTTGAATCAAAGGAACTAATGGTGTTGTGTATGAAGATACATAATTAATTTTCAATATATATATATATATATATATTATAAGATCATACTTAGTAGATTCGAGTACATAGTATAAACATTTTTTTTAATATAAAATCATCTAAGTTATATGAAATATATTAAAATAAATAATTTAAAATAAAAACTATTATAAAATTGGTTTCCATAAGTCTTACTTCTTAATTTATGATGAAAGAGATTCTTAAATTGTAAATTAAATAATAAATTAGTTCATCTCGTTTGAAAAAATAAATGAATTAAATTTTTTATTAGTGTTGATCATGAATAATTTATTTTTTTATTTTTAAAAAGTCTTTTTTTATATTTTTCCTATATTTTTTAGTCTTTCTCTATTTTCAAAACAACAAATAAAAATATTGAAATAGCAAAAAAAATAAAACGGCCCAAGCGCTGCCATGACAGGTCCATGCGCCAGGCAGCCTTGGCCATTCAACATAGGGCAAAAAAAAAAAAAAAAACAAAAAAAGCTACAATAAATAAATAGCGACAATCCCATATCTTTTAGTTACTAACGAGCTAGATACCGCGCTATGCTCGCGGTCGGATAATTGTGAATGTAAGGTCAACGATTTGCATAGTGTAGTGTGGGTAAAAATCTATATTTTTTTAATTATAAAATAATTTTAGAACATAAAAAGGAATAAATAACAAATAACTTGAGCTATGTGTGTAAATACATAATTAATTTATAACAAAACTAATAATATATATTTCAATTATTTTATTAAAAAATATTAATTTTAGAATATAAAAAAGAATAAATTACAAAGAATTAGTGTTATGTATGCAAATACATAATTAATTTCTAACAAAATTATATATATATATATATATATATGTATATATATATATCATATTTAGTAGATTGAGAGTATATAGTATAAATATATATATTTTTTAATTAAAAACCATCTAAGTTGTATGGAATATATTAAAATCAATAATTTAAAATAAAAACTATTGTAAAATTGGTTTCCATAAGTCTTACTTTTTAATTTATGATGAAAGAGATTCTTAAATTACAAATTAAATAATAAATTAGTTCATCTCATTTGGAAAAAATGAATGAATTAATTTTTTTATTAGTGTTGACCATGAATAATTTATTTTTTTATTTTTAAAAAGTCTTTTTTTATATTTTTCTATATTTTTCAGTCTTTCTCTATTTTTAAAACAACAAATAAAATTATTGAAATAGCAAAAAGGATTAAAAAAAAAATTTAAGCAAAGGGACTAATTAGGTTATGTATACATATACATAATTAATTTTCAACAAAGCTAAAAAAATAAATCATATTTATCAATAAATAAAATTTCATAAATAATTTAATTTGATGAGAATTTTTATAATAAACGACAAATTCAAGAGATTCATTTTAATTTTATTTTCCTAAAATTATGACTAATTAATTCTTCAAGATTAACAATATTTGCAATAATCCATGTATTGATTCTTTATATCATGTGTTCTATTTTTAATATATATTGGTGTGTAATAAGAATTAATATACTAATGTTTATTAAATTAGTAAATTGATAGTACGTATAGCCTATAAAATAAACACAAAACAATATTCTAATTAGACAAATTAATTTGGGGTAGGGTGAGATGGATAGAGTTAAATCATCATCTTTAATATTTATGATCATAATACAATTGTTTTTTTTTAAAAAAACCAATATAAATCTCATAAATTATATAGTCAACTCGTCCAGTTAGCTAACATATACATGACTAATTTTACTATAAATTCAAGTGTTAGCTTAGCTAGATAGTAGCCATTTGGTGTTTGAATTTATCAGAGGCAAAAAGAAATAAATTCATGATAATATATTGATTAAGATTAATGTATAGGTTTTGGATGGTACTGCATCTAAAATTCAGTTTGATAAAATTAAGATAGAAAAAAATTAATATTTAAAAATATTTTTAAACAAAAAAAAAAAAAGAAAAGAAAAGAAAAAACAAACTGTGGGTTGGGTAAAAAAACAAAAGAAGGGGCCTTGGCTTAAAAAAAATAAATGTTTTACTCTTCAAACGAACAGTAAAAAAAGAGGGACAATCTGAGAAGCTCACTGTTCAAACATCCTAGATGTTTTAGTGTTTAGTAAAATAGAATTGGTATATAGTGATTGAATCCTTTCATGCTTCACGAAGCTAATTCAATAATATCATTCAACAGGACATACAAGTATAGAATCCTTTTTTTATCTTTTTTTTTCTTTCCAACTTATCGTACTATCTTTCTTTCTTTTGTCTTATAAATATTAATATTAAATGTAAAAATAACAACAACAATAATAATAGCAATGCTATTACTACAAACAAATCACAAAAAAATCTTCATATAAACTCGTGAGAGACCATTGTTTTTCTATGCTAAACCAACTATATTTACAGAATTTATAATTGGCCATGTCTATTTATATTGAGTATAATTTATGCATGCAAAAAAATTACCACGACTAATAGTAAGAACATCCTAAAACCAAAATGCCAAGGATACTTTGATTATTTATTTATTTTATATATAACTGTTCGCTAATAAATAACATTTATCACGAAGATCTATCATATCGTGATTTTAAAAACATTTTAATGAACATGCCACATCAAATTTTCTTAAGAAAACTCGAGTTTGAAAAAGGTTGTACAGAAGAGAGAAAAAGAGAGAGGGGAAAAAAAAGTTACATGATTAATCGTTTTTCCTTTTTCTCCAACGCCGCGTTCCCGAGTCGCAGCTTTTGATCGCGTCATGGAAAAGTCAAAACAGCCGACATCATGGCGTACCATTGCCAACTGCACCACCCTACCCTACCCCTCAAGGCTGTGCCTGCCATTTTATAATTTCTATTCTCTACGGACTATTTCCTTCAGTCTCCTCCAACCTAAATAAACATCCTCAGCCAATAGAAAGGTACATCATCAGTACATAAAACCAAAAACAACCACAAAAATCATTAAAAAAAAAAACAACTAATAATGTATACTACCATGGTGGTAAACTGTTCCAATTGCCATACTCCGCTCCAATTACCACCGGGTGCCGGATCCATCCGCTGTGTTATCTGTCAAGCAGTAACTCACATCGCTGACCACTCTCGCAATGTTCCTCCTCCATCAAGCTCCTTCACTCCTATTTCTTCCAACCACGCGCCTCCGTCTCCATACAACCACGCGCCACCGGGTCCTCCACCAAACCAACACGGAAGAAAAAAGGCCGTTATTGTTGGGATATCGTATAAGTACTCAAGGCATGAGTTAAAGGGGTGTATCAACGATGCAAAGTGCATGCGTCATCTTTTGATGACCAAGTTTCAGTTCCCTCAAGATTCTATTCTCATGTTAACTGGTATGTGTCATGGTCTCTTTCAGTGTTGAATCTTTTCTTTTTTGTTAAAAAGGTTTGATCTTTTGGATCTTAATTTAGATTATTCTGCTGCAGAGCTAAAAAGATTTTTTTTTTAATATGGCGTCTGTTTTTGTAGATAAAAAGAGAGACCCTTTTGGTTGAAGATTGATTTTTTGTTGTTGTTTTGGCTTCGGACTGAAATTTTTTTAGGATTTTTAATAATGTTTCAATAGGGGCCAGTGTTAGTCAAATGATAATTTGTACATATCGAATGAACATTAATGGATGCCATTTGGACAAGTGAAATGTGCATAGCTAGCCCCTATTAGTAATGATATGGTATAAACATGGATTTTTAAATGGAATTAACTATGGGGTTCTTGATGATGAAGTTTAGTAGTGCTGTTTAAGCTGTTTTACGAAGGTATGTTTATTCAATAACAAGTTGCGGGAGTTCTGAATGAGATTCTCATTGTAGAAAATGTTTGTAGCTTTTATTACTCTGGAACTTTTGAGTTGGAAGTATTGCCGTTTCTACAGTTGGGGCAGTGGAATTTGCTCTCTGGCTCGTGCTTGTTATTCATTCTCTTTTATTCTTTATCCATTTTGTGATGGCTAGAAAAATACAGCAATTGTTGTTAATGTTTCCATGTTTTGAATTTGATTTCCCACCAGAATCTTTAGGAGGGTAGCAACTGATGCTATCATTTATTGGTTAAAAGGAAGCAGATTTGGATATTAGTAACCATTTCAAGTCTAGATAAGATTCTTAAGTGTCTTCCTTTTTCTTTCCTGCTGAATTTTTCTCATGATTTGTTTGTTTGTATATCATTTCCTAAAGAGAGATTTGGTATTTATACAGCATTTTCCTAGAGTTTTGGCTTATTAAAGTTCCTATCTAGTCGTGTTTACTGGTTTTGCCATTCTTAAGAATTTTTTTTTTTTGCAGTGCAGATGAAGTTTATATTTATGTCATTGCTATGATCTTTAGTTGTTTGCATAGCCATAAGGCTGGGTATATTTTGGTTTAGCATTTGTTGGACATGTCCAGTGTTAATTCTTCTCTTGAATTTGAAGTGCAGAAGAGGAAACTGACCCCTACAGAACTCCCACCAAACAAAACATGAGGATGGCATTATATTGGCTTGTACAAGCTTGTCAACCTGGAGATTCCTTGCTTTTTCACTATTCTGGACATGGTTCAAGGCAAAGAAATTATAATGGTGATGAAGTTGATGGATATGATGAAACTCTATGTCCACTGGACTTCGAAACTCAAGGTATGATTGTTGATGATGAAATCAATGCAACAATTGTCAGACCTCTTCCTCATGGTGTTAGGCTTCATGCAATGGTTGATGCTTGCCATAGTGGCACTGTATTGGATCTACCCTTCCTTTGCAGAATGAACAGGTTAGTTGCTGTCAGAACTTTCATGGATTTTGATTATATTTCTCTACTTATTTGTTTGTGACAAGTGAGCTTTATATTGAAACACAAATTGACCAAAAAACCTTCTTGAACCATTAACTACATGGACTTCCTTTTTGCCTTATGCTATATTCAATCAATTGTTTTTATTTAAAGCATGTTTCTGTGGTAGAGCAACTTCTTATAGTTAGGGAAGGAAAATGCATGCTATATTTGACCTTTTTTGGTATATCTACCTAAGTTGAATGCAGTGTTCTTGATTTCGCTCAAGTGATTGCTGGAAGGGCCTTAAAGTGAATAGATTAAAATGTGGGGATGAATAGAGCATTGGTATGTGAATCTGAAAAATATTGCATTTTTATTATTTGAGTCTTCTATTTTATCTATTTGATTCCCAAGTAATTATCCTACTTGAATTGAAGATCATTATGTAGATATTAGCATATATGAAATATGGGTTTGGTTTACAGTCTTTTGTGTGTACAAATTACCTTCACAGATAAGCTTCTTGTTTCCTTTGCATTTTACAAAATCTTCCTATATGTTCTATATTCTCTGTTCTGATTATATCTTTCCTCTTGAAAATAGGAGTGGTCAGTATGTATGGGAGGACCATCGTCCTCGATCGGGTTTATGGAAAGGGACAAATGGTGGAGAAGTCATTTCTTTCAGTGGTTGCGATGACGATCAAACCTCTGCTGATACATCTGTAAGTTTCATTTAAGAAAAAAATGGCTTATGAGAGATTAGTGAAATTTTTATATTTGCAAGGCAATTTACGATCTGGATTTCAATAATTCAAATTTTGTGGTTGCACAGGCTTTATCAAAGATAACGTCAACAGGTGCAATGACTTTTTGCTTCATCCAAGCCATTGAGCGTGGACATGGCACTACTTATGGGAGCATTCTCAACTCAATGCGTACCACTATCCGAAATACTGGTAGTGGCCTTGGTGGGGGGATGTTGTGACATCTCTCATTGGCATGCTCTTGACAGGAGGCTCTGGTGTTGGTGGGCTGAGACAGGTTTGGCTTTCACAATCTCTTCGTTAATCAACTGTTGATGTTATCAGTACCAATACTGGTCAATATTGGAGACATAGGCTAGCTTGTCTTGATGTCCCCTGATTTGCTTTTTCCTTTCCCAAGGGGACTGTGCTCCAAATTTGCCTCAAAAGGCATTACCCCTTGTGTGATTCATGCTGTCCATGATTTGTTGAATTTCTCATGTGTGCTTCATCATATGGTTGGGTTTCCATAAAATATGGGTGTCTGTACTGGTCATAGGATTTGACATTTTAAATATAGTTATGCATGATCAAACTGATGTTTGGTTTGAATTTGCACACACTCACACAAAGACATACAGTCACTTTCTTATGCATCTGGCTAAATTGTAAAATACCCCCCTGAACTTTGGCGAAAACACAAATATATTATTGAACTAAAAATTCCCTAATTTTCCACCCTAAACAATATCATTTTTGAATATTGCCATTATATTAGGGTTTTGTTGTGTAATTGACAAAAAAAAATTCCCTAAAAATACTTCCTATTCCTCTCTTTCTCTGCAGCAATAATAATAATTAGGGGTTTTTTTGTCAATTTCTCTATAAAACCCTAATTAATGGGCTACATTCAAAAAATCCTATTGTTTAGGCTGGAACATTTTTAGTTCAGTGGGTTATTTTAAAGATTATCCAGACTTGCAAAGGAAGGAACTTCTTTAAACTTTCAACCTGTTAAAATGCATCTTCAAACTATTAAAGCTGTTAGGAAAGTTTTTATTGAAAAGGAAAAAAAGATACAATTGAAGTTTGTGTAGGCCAGCATCAACTTCTTCACTGATGTCATGTTCGGATTGTGGGGAAATCCCTTACAACATTTTTTTCAGGAAAAATTCTTATTTTCTAGCCACTCCATAGCATGAGTTCATATCTAATGTGTGTGACATCCTGTGATTTATGAAAGCACTTATCCTGTTCGTCCTGATGTTTTGGTTTGTTCTCCTTGTTGACAGGAGCCACAGCTAACTTCTTGCCAGCCTTTTGATGTTTATACAAGACCTTTCTCTCTTTGAAGTTCTTTTTTTTTTTTTTTTGGCATATACATTGATTATACTTAAATATAAAGGAAGGGGTCTTTCCCTGCTCTTGTAATTTGTTTGCTGAAAACATTCTAGAGATGATTGTTTGTGCAGGTAGAACAAGGTTTCTGGTCGACACCTGATTCTTATATATAGCTTGGTTAAAAACTGTCTGGCAGCATTAATTGTTAACGCATGTCTTTATGCTTGTTATTATATTTTATTATGATTTAATCTTTTGTGATTTTTACGTAGAGTTGATGGTTAACTAAATTACTCTATTCATGTCCAAGTAGGATGTCTTTATAAACTTAGATAAGGATGATGGAATTAAGTTTTTTCCCTGAAAGCTTTTTGGAGTATGTCAATTATCAGGCATTTATATAGGAAAGAAGACTCCATGGAAAAAGAAACTCTTAAGAACGCCAGCAGCTGAAGGTAAGTATAGATTATTTGACTTATACCTTCTAGTTCAGGGCTGCAACACGGCATCAATAAAGGGCTGCACTTCAGCTTGGAGGAAGATAAAAGCCTCTCAGGTAACCTGCAGTGAGAACTTTGGACTTCTCTACCCCGAAATGCCATCCTGCCAGTTACTGCTGATATCAAGGCCATTGCTACCAACTGCTGGACTATACTATCAATAATTTTTTTGAAAAAACCAGAATATGAAAGCGGAAAGGTTTAAGGGAAATTGTGATATAAAACAGTTGCTTTTACATGGTCAAAAGAATAAATAATATCCTCGCAGCTCCGTTCCATCTTATCTGTTTTCCTAGCAGCCAAGCCAATCACAGCCATCAAAGAAATGGATAGAGATCCCACGCACTACAAACATTCCCTTGCACGTTTTAGTCAAGATGTTGGCTTTGCTGCCAGATTCCTCTTTAAAAACTTTAATCGATATCAAAAGCCAGTAGAAACACAAATCAGTAGTGCCAAACTACGCTAATGTCGTTCCACGTTCCATAACCCAATCTCCTCAGGGGCAGGAGCTTATTGGGCATTATCAAAAGCCAGTAAAACCACAAATCATTATTGCCAAAATACACTTGTCGTTCCAAGTTCCATCACCCAACCCTCCTCAGGGGCTTATTAGGTATTATCGTATTGCAAATGTGAATGGTCGAGTGCATCATACCTGCTTTGATTCAAAAGCTAAACGCAGAACGGTTTCACTTACAGATGACGGTAAGAAAATAAAAACAGCTGTGCTTCGAAGGCACCAGGACTTTTCTAAGAAGAGCGTCTTAAGGACAAAAACGTGCACTTCGAATAACGCAGTTCAGATGCTAACTCAATAGAAACATGAAAATAAAGAGAAAAAACTCTCAAATGGAAGGTAAGACAACTATTCAACAAGCACCTGCCAAAAAATCAAGACCTAAAAATTCAGACGCTCAATTGAACCTTTATATTGGCGGTAAATATTTGAATAATATCAAGACATGTAGATGGAAATCCCATATATAAATCCCCCACCCCACCCACATGGAAAAATATTTTCGAAAATTAACGAGTAACCTAGAAGCACTGGACATGATTTTTTTTTTTTTTTTAATAAAAAGATACAATGAGCATCACCGTCATCTAAATAAACTTTTCTAGTATCCTTGATCTATTAGGATCTGCAGGCCGGAAATCTTCAAAACGCAAATTGGAGGAACTACGAATCTCATTTAGGACACCTTCTCCTTTCTCTGCTTTGATTATCTCCAAAATACTTCCAAGAACATCCCCTGCAAGCCCAGACTCAAGAAGGCTGCCCGGTTCCTCTCCACCTTCACATAGTAACCGCCCTATCTCTGTTAGAGGGACAGCATTTTCTACAACAACTCTTCCAAAGACGCGTCCAAGAAATTCTGGTGCTTTGGGGGCATCATTTACAGCATCCTCCAAAGTAGTCAGTACCGATTCAAACCTGACCAAACAAAGTGGGAAAAAAAAACAATGACATCATAAACAAGGAAGACATCGATCTCAATCAAACACAAACACAAAATAAATTGTTCCTACCCTTCGATGAGCTGGTTTGCATTCAAAATGGCATCCTGAGATCTTGTAAGACTGACAAGAAGCTTAGCCAAAAGATCTCTCTCCATGTCCTTCCTCTCGAATGAGTCTGTGACCCAGAGAGAGATCATTGAAGGATGGAAACTTGAGGAATTCAAATCTTTGATGCATAGGGCAACTTCTTTCTCATCTCTGGCACTGAAAAGAGAATTTCAATCAATACATAAGAAAATCTGCATGCAGAGTCTTGTGCTATATTTACACTTAACCCTCGTGAAGTCAACTTCTGTCATAACACAATTATGGCAATCATTTGGAAGACACTGAAAAAAAAAAGGCGAGGGACAGAGGAAGGGGTGGTGTTAAGGATAACTGTAAATTCTACAACAGTGTGGAAGAAATCTGCCAGATAAAGACTTCCTCAAATTGAAATTACAAAAACTACAACATCCCATCCAGCCCTTTCATGAGCGAGATCACATTCTTCTTGCCAAAAACGACACCTTGAAGCTAAATTGAGTAAAGGTTTCCACTGTAGTGCACAAGACTCCACTGCTTACCATGCTCATATCATGTCTCAGATTGGGATTTCATTACCAAGCATTGTTTTATGGTTTCCTAAAACTGTGCAACTGTCGATTAAACACAAGGGTCTTTAAGTTTTCAAACATTTCGTTTCTCCCATGTCCTGTCTTGCAAATGCACTATGATCCAAAATTAACTCCCAAATGGACTCAATATAAACAAAACAAAGTATCATTCTGCACTAGCCATCCATTTCTATCACAGACTACTATTATCATCACTGCAGTGTGGTAATAGCAGTCTATTTTTCAACCCTGTTGATACAACCTGAACCAGAGGATGTCTCTTATTCCCAGAATGACAAGCTTACATTCACATGGAGGAAAAAAATGTGTGAAAGTGGCAAAGGCAATAGTCTCCCTTTCCAACATGGAAGACTGCCATACCCTAGGAAACAAGATAATATTCAACAGAAGCAACCTGCATGTAGCTATACCTATTTTTGTATGATACATCTGGGTAGAAAAGACATTGTGAAACATGGTAATGAAGTTTGTGAAATGTATTAAACTTGAACCAAACCAATGATTAACTTCAATACCAATCGATCATGACTGAGCAAAATGCAAGCAAGACGAAATTGTACCTGTAAAATTCTTTTATTGCGGCCAGAGACATATCTCGCAGTCGTTCCTCAGGCCACAACTTTCCTGTTGGAATACTCTGGCCTAAAGGTGGTCCTTGTGCTCGTGTTGGCGGGGGTGATCCCAGAGGCCTATCAAAACGACGATCTAGATTCCTTGGGTCCCTGTTAACATAATTCATATTTCGTTCCTGACCACTCATTTGATCATAAGCGGGTGGAACTGAAAATCTCTCTGGAGGATATCTTGGAATGAGATCTTCCCTTGGGCTGTAATTTGATCGTTCCGAAATGGCACTAAAACCATTCAAACCAGGTGCCATTCTTCTTGAGTCACCTGAGCTTGGAGAAATATCAGCTACAGGAGTGCCTGCAATAGAAGGTGCTCCTCTAATGGACATTCCTCTTGCAAGACCACCTTGGGGACCCAAAGTAATAGAATCATCACCAAGAGGTCTTTGAGGTAAGGGAACCGACAACGTCTTAGCCTCGTAAGATTGTCTGTCATCAAACCGAACATCCTGGTTGCCATACCCACGAACCTGAGTGGAAAACCCTCGGAAACCACCCATCTGTGCATTTGGAGAAGGTAACATTGTTGACCCTCTCGGAACAAAATCCATAGGGCCCCTTCTTGGAGAAGGATTCATGCCAGGATTGCGAAGCCTACTAGTTTGCAGCTGTCGTTCTTGAGCAGCATCTCTGTGCACTTCCTCGATCTTTTTTGGCCCTTCAACCTTCCTCCTCTGCTGCCATTTGTTTTTCCTCAAATCAATTGCATCCTTCAACATAAACCTAACCCTAGATGAGAGTTTCATGTTGTTTGATAATTTTGCCATCATTTCAAAATATGCATCCATATGCTCCTTGGCTTTGGGATGGTCAATCATCTCTCCAATTGTGCTCATTAGTTTGCAAAGAGCCTCAACATCCTCCTCATCAGGATTCTGATATTGACCCAGCAACTTTTTGATGCACTCGTGCATTATTCTTTCAGTCAACATTCTTTTTTTATACAGCTCTCCAATTAGTCTTATGTTACCAAGCATTCGTCTACGTGCCTTGATCCTCTTTTCTTCTCTTTCCTCTTCAGACTGTTTAATCTCACCCTCTTCATCAGCTTTATTAGCTTCCTCTTGCTCTCGCTCCCCTCTCTCAAATTCCTCCTGACACTTGTTCAGAAGTAACCTCTTGAAAGTTACCTTTTCATTATCTTCAGTGAGTTCAGGCAACTCTCCCGCTAGATGAAAGCAGAAATTAGCATACATTTCACAGAAAGTAGGCTCCATTAAAGCTTTGTCAAAGATCTGTGAGATAACGCCATTAAGCGTCACAACATTATCAATGTTAACAGCTTTTACTTGCTCAAAAAGCTTCTCAAAATTCTGAGGAGTTAGCTTGTTCAATATGCCTTTCAACAGTCTTTGCTTGGCTTCTTCTTCATCTGTCACTTTACCCACTTCATACTTTCTCTCAGCTTTGTGCATAGCCTGTAACGGAGTATGAGGAGAAGGAATCAATCCTTTATGCATAAAACTAGCTGAACGCTGCCATCTGTCAGCATCCGAACCACCTCTCTGCACCCCTCCCTGAGGACCCATTGATTGCAAAGATAGAATCCCTACAGGACTCTGTGCTCGTGGGTTCATCAGAACGCCATAGTTGCCTCCTGTTACAGGTCGAAAACATGCATTAGGTCTATAAGCAATATCCGAGTTCAAATCCCTTCCAGGACCAAATGGACCAGGCTGTTTACTCCATCGGCCATCATCTACCATACCACTCCCACGGCGGTCTATCCGAGATCCGCTATTAGACCTGTCCATAACTCTTGCAGGACTGGGGTATGAATCCCGATCAGCAAGATGAGAAACATTGACACCTATCCAAACCTCTGCTATTTCAGGTGGAATATTAAAACCTTTGGGAGGATCAGTAAATTGCTCGGAAAATTTGAGGAGGAAATCTCTGGAATATTTTTTGGCTGTATTGGCATTCCCATTTGTATCATGTTGTCCCAATCCTCTGTGTGATAGTTCCCCATCATCTTCCAGTTTCGGTGTAGACATGTCGGCAGCATCTTCCCAATCATCTGGCTCAGCTTTATTCTGCCTGCTTCTCTCTCCTGCAACAGAGTCGACCTGAAGGGCATCAGCAGGTGCCTGCTTCAGATTAGGGCTAGTGCTTTCTATGGCTTCTGAAGAAATGAAATTTTCTTTCTTTTCCTCTGGACCTTTATATGCCCCATAAAGATCAGAAGTCCCAGCAAGATCTGCTTTCTGAAGAATTTCTCTTCTCTTCTTCTTCACATTACCAGTGGTACTCTTTGATCTAGTCAGTTCAGCAGGCTTTTCTTTGGCACCAACCGCAAGGGAGACTGTTCCACTGCTTGCATTTCCCACACCGTCCCCTTCATGTTTTGCAGTTACCTCAGAAATATCAGGTACTGGAACAGAATCCTGCTGACCTGATACAACAGACTTTGTAACAGAAGCTTCTTTGTTACCTATGCCATCACTGTGACTCAAAGATGCATCTGAAGACTTTGTATCATCTGCAGAATCTAAATTTCTGGATGTAGAAGCATCCTCATCATCCATAATCCTGTCATTTGCTGTGTGGCGAGTCACAGGTTCTGACAGCCCCTCCTGTGCAGTTTCTACGGCTGGAACCTCATTGCCAACAGAAGTAGAAAACAAATCAGATGCCTTTTTATCTTGCTTGACAAGGTCTGCAGATTTGGAATTAATTGATGCTGAAGAAATGCTGTAATTGTGTTTAGGAAATTCAGACAGTGCTTTTTCTCCTTGCTCTTCTGTTGCTGGAATTTCACATTTTAGTTTTTCTTGTGGGGAAGAATCATCCAGCTTAGCATGAGTGGCATTTGTGGTATGATCAACTCCAGCAACAAGAACTTGAGATGAACCAGTGTCAAAACCATCTCCAGCCTTGTCAACCTTGGTTTCAGAAACATCAGGATCCAAAGCAGTAATTGTTGACACTGGTCCCTCGATTGATTCAGTCAAAACTTCACTGCCTGCTGATGATGGAGAAGGATTTGTTGTAGTTTCTTCAGTTTCAGAAAACCCACTGCCAGAAGATATACCATGTTCCGCAGTGCGAGAAGACAAGCTCGGTAAAGAGGTAGTCTGTCCAGCAATCTGTTAAAAAAAAAAAAAAAGGCAAATGAGAAAATAGAACCCAAAAAATTTGCATGATGATTAAAGGAATATGTGATCTTGAATGCCAACATATTAGTACCTGATGCTGAGGCTGGATATTTCCTTTCTTGCCTGGTTTCTTCTGATGTTCCTTGATAGAGTTCGACCTACCCAGAACTTCCTTTTTCGGCCTTCAGCATTGGATACCCCTGGTATTGCATCATCAGAATGAGCCAGGGAAGCAGACGCTGCACCATCAACAGCAACCGCTGCAGGCTGTGTGGCTGCCACAGGAAGTGACCTGACTGATGATTCACCACCAGGTTTTGTCTGCTGTAAAGAGCTTTCTGAAGAAGTCTCTGAATCCCTTTGAGAAGGAGATGGGCTAGCTTCCCCAGATGACCTTGAGGATTTGTGGGATCCAGCCTTTTCAACAGCAGTGATCTTTGGCAAAGATGGCTCCACAACTTTCTCTCCAATAGAACCAACAGGCGGCTTAACAATCACTTGTACTACTCCGGATGGAGTTGAGGAGATTGCATTGCGTGCATCACGAGCATGGTCTGAGTTCTGCAGTTCTGCAACACCATGAATTGCAGTCCCAGACTTACTAACTGGAACTGAATTGAGAGCAGCTACATTCACATAAGGAACATTTTGGGGAGCCTGGCTGACTGGATAATTAAACCTAGGTGCTGGCTGAGAATTGGGTGCTATTTGGCTACCAGTTAAGGGTAGAGAGCTTGGAGTTGGAAAAAATAAATTATTGGCATTGTAAGAACTAGAATAATAGTTAATCGCATGAGAAGGTGCAAATGATGGAATTGGCTGGGACTGGGAAACATTGAGATGAGACCTCAGTCCTGATGGTCCTGCATCTGGATATGCATCTGTCCGCTTATCAAGCCTCAGCTCTTCATGTGTCTTTGGATCAGTAATCTTGACAGGTGTTTTACGTTGACCGCCAAATTTACCACCCTGTTGTTGAGGATATTGTGGGGCAATGCCAATTCCTAAGCTGCCTAACTGAGGAGGCATCTGAGGACCCATTGTGGTCGTAAAACCCAAGTTTTGGCCCTGATGCATCATTCCCTGAGACTGCATAGGATGAGGTTGGAGACCTTGAATAAAAACTGGCTGTTGCACTTGAGGAGCATTCCCCATCTGTAATGGCATTGGAATTGGCATCTGAAGTGAAGTTGTCGGCACACCCTGAGACTGAATTTGAGGGCCTGGGCCACCAAACTGCACAGAGACCTGTGGCTGCTGATATTGCATAGAAGTCATAGGAACTGGAAGAACAGAAGGCTTCTGCGTCTGGCTCACAGATGGTCCAGGTGGGATTTGTGTATCTTTTCTGGCCTTGGGGACTGGATGAATCTCCCCAGCAATAGTTTGGTCTGCTGAGCTCACTTCCTTCCTCAGCAATTGCTGCTTAGGAGCAGGAGTTGGTAATGAAGGAGCAGGCCTAAATGTATCATGGCGTGCCTGCAGGTTGAAGACATGGCGTAACAGCTTTTATATTTATTTATATATACAATGAGAATATACTTCTCTAACCAAATATCAGGACAACATACAGTTATCGAGATTGAATAACTCAAAAACAAACCATACTACATTCAAAACCCTGAGAGCATACAGCATGTTGGAAATAAAGTGAATTCCATTAAGAGAAAGAATACAAAACATCTTCTTCATGTCAATTGTTAAAACAATATTATGCAATTTGGAATACTGCTTCTAAGAATATAGCAAGAAAATGAAAGGCTAGCAAGAGAACAATGGCTGGTTGGGAGGGAGCATACATACCTGGTCACGTTTCTGCTCGTCCAAATTTGGGGGAGCTGAGCTTGTTCGAGCAGGAACCTAGAACACAATCCTTCAGCTATCAAAAGCTATACATAGAAAATTGCAAGTTGCACTAAGAGCATAAAAGAGCAGCAAATACCTGCATCCCATTCATAAAACCAGGACTAATGGACCCAAATTGAAAAGCAAATGCCTTAGATGCATCCACTGGGGCTGGGACATCAAAAACATTGTAAATACATGACTTATTATTCCAATCCAAGACTATAAAACAATATCAAGAGAAACAAACACTGAAAAAATCACTATACCAAACATACAAAAACAGCATTAAAGTTACTTGTCTCCAATGTAGTATGTTCACATAGAAAACAGCAAAATTACCCTTGGCAGGTGTCATGGACGCCCCACTCTCTGAACTCACGGCAGCAGGATGAGAAGTTGGAGCCTTTGGAACAGCTCGGGCACTCCTCTGAGTAGCAGATGCTTCTGACGGCTTGGTAACACTGCTTGGAGGCGGTGGAGCATCAGATGTTCCTAAGAAAAAGAATAAACAACAAAATAAACATTCCAAGCAAAAATCCAAACTGTGATCATTGTCCCATTCCTTCCGTTAAAAGTACAAGTCTTTCCACATAAGTAAGTGAAAATCATCAAACATACCATGTAATGGAGATTGCGTCGGGGCACCATTCTGTACATTACGGACTGTAGAAGCAGCATTATTACCGGAATCGGAAGAATTCACAACAGGTGGCACATTTAACCTACTAGATTGCCCTCCTCCTTGGGTAACGTTACTAGACTTCTTATTAAAACTGCCCATCATTCAATAAAAACAAAACCAATCAAAACAACACAAACCCTAACTCGTCCTTCCCTTAGATCAATAAAAACCCTACACTTTTAACCAAAAAAAGTAGGTACCTGCGATTGGACGAAAGAGAAGAAGACGGTGAAGGGGCGGGGGGCCACCGCCACCGCCCTTACCGTATGAAAGAGAGGAACTCCGTTGCTGATTAGAGCTGACGTATCGTCCTGATTTCCTATACTGTAACTCGCTCTTATCACTGCCACTCCTTGATTGATTGTAGGACATATATTCTTTTTTTTTCAATAATTTCTCTGCAAAAAGAAAGGAAAAAATCAGATCCACCAAAAACTCCAAAATTCAAAACCAAAAGTCGGTAACCGTTAATAGTTGATTACGGTTTCCGATTAAGAAAATTAATTGATATCAAACCTGTTGAAGTGAGGAAGAAGAGAGGAAGAGTGAGGGAGAAAGAGAGATACAGAGAAATTAGGGTTTTACTGGACGGTCATGACGGGAGACGGGAGAGAAATAAAAAAGAAAATAATTAAGAGAAGCAACATATGTATGAGCTGTGAATTTATAAATATGATAAAAGAAAAAAAAAGTTAAATTTTTTTATTTTTTTAGAGAGAGAAAGGGTAGGATAAATGGGAACGGTAACTAACCAACTAGAGGCAAGGTAATGGTCAAATGTTTAGGTTTTTCAGGAGATCCAAATCCAACATCGAATAGGTCAGTCAGTCACTTGCTTCTTCTTTCTTTCTTTTTTTCACTTTTTTCTTTTTTTTAACTTTGTCACCGACCTTGGTTAAAAATGTGGGTTGCGTTCACGCGCCGCCGTGGTGGTGGGGTTGGAGGCCGGTTGGTTGGTGGGGAAAGTTTGTAGAGTTTAGAGCATTGAAAGGTTTTTGCTTTGGAAAAGACATGTTATAAAGTTTTACTTGGAGTATTGTTGGATGTTCGAACTCTTTGATATTAATATGTTGTGTTGTATTCTAGTTATTGTATTGTATTGTGTGTTTGATGACTTTTTATTTAATTGTATTTATAAATGTTCAAAACAGTTTGTAATGCTTTTGAATTATAAAATAACCAATAAATAGTATAACATACAAAAAATATTTTAACAAATATATTTTATTTATATTTAATGATTTTATAATTTCTTAAACTCGTATGATATACGTGCATGTTTTTTTATATGTGTGACTCTTAAGTTTAAAAAAAATTGAAAAAAAAAGGTTAAATAGAATAAAAATAATGTATATAAACACCTTGTTTTAATAAAATTAATTACGTAACAGAAAATAAAGAATTTTGAAATAAAATTATGAAAGTAGAAAAGATTAGTCTCTAGTATCATTTATAGTTTTTTTTTTCTTTTAGTTTTTTAAAAATAAAAATAAAAAAACTTGTTCGTTTTATTAATTTTTCACTAAAAAAATAAGCCAAAACCAATAATCAATATTACAATTTATAAAAATTGTGTTTTTGACTCTAAAATTTTTTTGACAAATAATCTTCGTTATTTTTCATTTTTAAAAACAAAAATCGATTGAGTTTTCTTTATGTTGAGGAGTTTTTGAGTTATTGAGAATAAAATTAATTATGTAACGGAAAATAAAGAATTTTGAAATAAAATTATGAAAGTAGAAAAGATTAGTCTCTAGTGTCGTTTATAGTTTTTTTTTCTTTTAATTTTTAAATAATAAAAATAACAAACTTGTTTGTTTTATTAATTTTTCACTAAAAAAAATAAGGCAAAACCAACAATCAATGTTACAATTTATGAAAATTGTGTTTTTGACTACGAAATTTTTTTCACAAATAATCTTCATTATTTTACATTTTTAAAAACAAAAATCAATTGAGTTTTCTTTGTGTTGAGGGGTTTTTGAGAATAAATCAATAAAATGTTAATAGAGTAGTCAAATTGCCCAAAACTAGTATTGTATAACTCATAAAAACAAGTAGCACGCTAACCAAGTATAATTAATGTAAACGAGTAAAAGACATAGGAGGAAGCACGTGCGATACTAGTAAAATGCAAGTCACGCGTCATATATATTCAAGGTCTAAGTAACTAAAAATTTGGAAATCATATGACATGAATGCGCTTAGGTATTGTTTGGTAATCAAGAATAGAATGGTGAGAATGGAAATGAAAGTTTTATTCCCACATTGTAGACATGTTTGGTTAAAATGAATGAAATGGGAATGGGAATGAAGAGTGAGAATGGGAATGAAAATTTACACACAACTTCATTCCCACATAAAATGTGGGAATAAAAAACAAGGAATGAGAATGAATTTTTTTTCAAAATAATAATATATTTTATTTATTTATTATCTATTAACTACTTTTGCCACAACTACCAACACCACTACACTATCTTCATCACCACCACCACTGCCGTTACCACCACCATCACAACTACAACCACCACTACCACCTGCAAGCACCGCAACCATCACCAACACCATCACAACCACTATCACTACTAACATCATTACAACCACAACCATCATTATTACAATCACAACCACCATTACTACCACAATCATTACCGCCACCGCCGCCACCACCACCACCACCACCACAATCACTACCATCACCTTTATTATTTTTATAACTATTATAGTTTAATAAAACTATTTTTTAATCATTGTTTATATTTGCATACAAAATCGGATATTAAAAAATTTAAATTGCATTCCGATTCCTTATTAGTATTCCAAACACGGTATTAGAATACAAATACCATTCCGATTCCTTAATTTTCATTCCGATTTCGTATTTCCATTCCCATCACTTTATTCCCGATTACCAAACATCACCTTAGAGTTTTGGTGGGGAGAGCTTAGAATTTAAGCCAAAAAGTCAAAAAAATATTTGTCCCTTCCTTACGATTGATGGTAGTTTGGTATTCACGAGTAAAATGATAATTCTTTTGATCAATAGGATGGTGATATGTCTTTTGGGTTTGGATAGTAGAGTTTGAGTTAGCAAAAAAAATATATAGACATAAAAACAAATCAAGTGCTTTTTGTACTAAACTATTTCAATTTGCTAATAAAAGCTAAAAAAAAAGTAATAACTCAATCTTTTTTACCGGATCTTTTCTAAGCCCGCCCATCCAACCTTTATAATGCATTTTAAACACAAGACATAGATCCTAAACCTCGTTATAATACCTATATTCATCAATGAATGGTCCAAAAATCTTACACTAATTGAAGCCTATCACCAGATCAAAGCCGTTTGTTTTGTAGCTTAGGTCTATGCTTGATTTAAAAAAAAAAAAACGAATAAAAAAAATTAATACATGATTAATTAAATTGTTTCAATAATTTTTATAAACAAATCGAACATACACATTCTTATTTTTTATATTATTTATTAAATAAATAAATAAATTACGAAAATATATCAAATGACCAAAATATCATCACTAGAAAAATGCGATCGTGTGCTTAACTATCTAATAAAACAACAATAATTTTATTAGGCACGAAATCTTGTATGATTCACACACTTCTTGAATGAAAAAACCTACCCAAGGTGCAAATATGTGTTGGAATTAGAGATCCGCTACGTCCCATCAAGTCAAATGAATTCCAAATTCTCTTTATGGATAAATAACCCTAACTTTCCCCTTGGCACAATCTTGAAAGAACTAATAAGTTCCCCCCCCTCTCATAGTCATTATGGATGTTCTTGGATCAAATTGTTTATTAATTGAGATTGAATCCTACTATTGTATGATATATATATAAAAAAAATGCATCTTCCTTATTGTCTAACGCATTAAAAAAACAATGGATATTAGAAATTAAGATGTTGATATAATTCTCGATTTATCATTACACTACACATTCTTCATTCACCATTAAATTTAAAATATTTATATTTTAGATAAAAATTGAACCAAAAAAAAATTTAGTTAAAACGCATATGTTAATATCATCCTTTCAACATTTGAAAATATTGATCTCATTGCCATAAAATACAACTTGGATTGATTAGTTGATTTTATCAATGAATGAATGGATAAAAACGTGATATTGCCTAGTCTCGCAGCCTAAATAAGTTAATTTTTCTTTTAATATACAAATTAAACCAAAAGATTACAATTCAAACTCAAAAAAAGAAAAAAAAAGAAGAATTTTGGGTTAACGGAATAAGAACAAGAATGAAACACTACTCCATAACCGATATATTATGAAAAACACTAAAAAGCATGAGGTTTTTACCGTTGCTACTCACCCTCTCTCGTTTTACTCGTGAACTTATGTGTCTTTTTTTTTCCTTCACATTACAAATGCCTTTTTTTTATTCTTAATTTTCATCATTGTCTTTAAGTGGATTTGTGAAAGTGCACGTTTGTCTTTAACTCGATTCTCCTTAATTTTATTCTTCATCCTTTTTTCCGTCATTTCTCTTTCTTAAAACTTTTTGATATAACAATCATATATATTTTCGTATTTTAATTTTCTCGTATCAAACAAACACTCGGAATATATTTTCTAATAGTTTTTTCATATAATTGCCAAACAAGTAAAAAATATATTTTTGAAAAACAAATTCTTAAAAAATAACTTTCTCGAAATTGATTTTTCTATAAAACTTGTTTTCTTTCAAATAAACATAGCCTTAACTCACGATGCGTGTTCAAACTAGATTGATGTAATTTATCAAATGAGCTATTTTGCGGCTAAAACAAAACCAACCATGAAGTTACTCTCAACATGCCAACTGTATATGCCTATCTGGTGAGGGTACATCGCATTCTTTCATGGGTTGGTAGAGTATGGTGAATTGCAAAATGCATTCCTGAATTCGAGGGAAAAAAACAAGTAAACTAAAAAATCTTCAATTTTACCCACTAAATAAGATGATTTTTTTGAATGTGCTCTTTTTTATTAGAGTTATGATCGGAAATTAATGAAAAAAAAGCATAAAATTCCTCCAAATTTCTATTATTTTCTTCGCCGATTTAGAAAAAGCAGATCTT